GTGTGTGTGTGAGGAGGGGGGGGGGCGAAACAGCGAAAGAGGAATTTGGATGCGCGTAGGCAAACAAGCGAAAAAGGTTTGTGTTTATCCCTCCAACCCTGGAACTAAATTGTTTGTTTCGTTATAAATCGTGATGAACTTTTTGCGTATATCTATTTATGTGTAAACATTTGCATACATACGGTGTACGATCTGAAACTCATCCGAATTTACTAGCTATAAAAATTGAATTTGAAATCGAACTATTGGTTGTTTCTGAAGCGTTTCCAATCCAAACAGAAGGTAGGCATAAATCACATACGCGCATACATAACAATAATATTTTTAATTCCCAGTGTATTTAATGAGCATAAAAATGTGTAATCAATTTTCTGGACCACGACCAAACAAAGGCGACCTGAAGAAATAGGAAAACGAAGGGAAGTTGGACAGCGGTGGTGGAACTAGAACTCGGGAACTCCAGGTCACTGTTCTGATTGCATGCACCAGTTAACCACCGCGATCCAAAATAAACACACAAACGACGCGCGTGATCGTGGGAACCCAATCCAATTTTTATGTACTTACTGGTTGAAACGAAGGAGTTACATACATACCATATGCTGTTATGAAAAATCACTCGAACGGTATGCTTTTAACTTATCTTGTCGATATAGTTTGATGATACTGAACAAGTTAACAGACTGTCAATGTGTGACACTCATCATGTTCATCCCTAATGGAATACACTGCAAAGGTGAGATTTTATTACGCTTCGGCACTAACTGCTGACGGGGAAAACAGGTCGTATGAACGAACAGGTTACCTTTTTTGTGTTATTCAACAGAGCGATAAAAAGAAACTAGAGATTTTCACGCGTGTGGAGCAACAAATATCTCAAACTTGAGCATGACGAGAACGGTCAGAAATCGAGCAGTGCCATTCTCCATGCGCAGCTTTCGCAAAGCAGGCACGCACGCACGCAGTTGTACGCGTGTGTGTGTGTACGCGAGTGGGGCACAGGTCTGCGTGATACTAATCGGAAACAATTGCATGATCAGTTGCAGACAGATAATTACTGCTAATAACATGTGGATTCGGAATCCCAATCACCGGATTTGACGATCCACTCAACCAGATCAGCGTACTTGGGCGTAAGAGAACCCATTAGCAGAGACGGAGCATCGGTTAGCATGAATAATGTACACAAATCAATAGTCTATGACAAATATCGTATTTTTGCAAACCCATTCCAGGGCTGTCTGGATGAAAGTGATTCAGGGTCGTTTCGTTTTGTTTCTGCACTACTTAAACGGGTAGGGTCTCTGACGGCATATATATACATATATATATATATATACATATATATATATATATATA